GGGCGCGATCGGCTTTCCGCTTATTGCGCTGCGGTGTGCGCTGCGGGGCTTTGCACTGAGAGCCCTGCTGTGCAGGCGCGTTTCCACGGGCCTTCGTTGCTTTGTGTTCCAGGTTGCTCTGCTGGACGTCGACATCTGTGGGCCGTCCATCCCTAAGATGATGGGTCTGGAAGGAGAGCAGGTGCGCTCTGACCGCTCCTATAGCGAGAGGCGAATGTGTCAGATAAAAGCATCCCCAGTGTGTCATTAAGACTAAAGCTTCGCTTAGATTTAACACTTCTATAAGGTCGTTTATTGGGAAGCCAGGGGAGCAAAAAAGCTGAGATGGCCAATGTGCAGCGTGGTGTCATTTGTTAGAGAGTCACAGGCAGTCGGGGTGACCAGTTCTGCCAGGCAGGCGCTGCTCTGAATCTACTGCTAATCCATGAATGCTGAACCTGAGTCATACCAGCATGGTGCTCTTTATCAGCTTTGAAATGTTTAATGTGTTTATATAAAATCATGGGTATGTTTCCAGCAAGAGCATTCAAGCAGTTCACTTATTAATGGAGATCTAACTTCTGCAATTTTTAATTAACCTGGTCCAATACAGTGGCACCACATCCATACGCAAGGTCTTTTTATCCTCTTTGATCTTCTGTTCATCTTTTACATAACTTCTGCATTAATTTCTCGTGTGACTTTGTATGTATCTCTTCAATTTTCAGGTTCATCAGAGTGGATCAGGATGGTCTCCAGTGGTAAGCTGGTGCAGCTGTTCCCAGAGGTGGCTGGCTGAGTTTGACACTGTTGTAAGGAGCAGAAGGGCTGGGGAAGAAGCACAGTGTGCTTTTGTATTAATTGTAGTGGACAGAGGGTTTTTTACACCCCCCAGAAAACATCTCATTAATCTTAAAAACATGCAGGGAAAATGCCAGGTGTTTTTTGTCTGAAGGTCACCTGTAGTGTATCCCCTCTACCCTTTCTCTCCTGTTCTGCATGGAGTTTCTCTTCTCTTTTAGTATGTTGAGGAAAACTTAGGTGTCATGTCAGTGGGGTTCTTGCTCAGTAGTCCTGACGATGCTGTCATCTGGAGAGGACCAAAAAAAAATGGTACGTGTTCAGGGTTTTCAGCAACAACTTACATGGTTGGAAGAGTGAATATCTGAAGATGAGCTTACTTGGCTAAAGCACAAACCTAATAAAGTAAGCGATGGCAAGAAGCAGTGAATACTCCACACTGTTCAGTAGTAGTTAGCATACCTTCATCATTTTTCTTGCACAGTAGAGCCAGAGCTGTACAATATAGTTGTGTTACTGCTTCCGCTTTCATCACAGAACTTTTTCTCAATATCCTCTCTCGTTTCTTTGAATAATGGCTACAGTGGGTCAGGTGCTTTATTGGGTTTTGGGTTTTGCCTTTTGTTTGTTTTAATTCTTTGCAAAATAAGCACTTCTGCACCTAAGTTGGCTGTAGTCAGAAGAATTTGCATATCTGGGCTCTAAAATTTGAAGCAGACTGAAATATACAAGGATTTTTATTTCATTTAATGCCACGTTCTTGTCCTCTCTGCTAGGGCTGATCAAACAATTTCTTCGTGATGTGGACTGGGGTGAAGTTGACTACCTGATTGTAGACACCCCTCCAGGGACGTCAGATGAGCACCTCTCAATTGTGCAGTACCTCAGTGCGTCGCATATAGATGGCGCTGTTATAATTACGACCCCTCAGGTAAGAGATCTGCGTTTCCATTCACGGAAGCAGCACGGCAAGTGCTTGGCTTACAATCAGTGTTTAATTTCAGAGAAGGGAGCTGACTGACTTGCTTGTGTGTGCAGCTGGCTGCTTTATGAGCTAGGTGGATGCCTTGGTGGAGTAATGGACCTGAGTGAGCTTCTGCACAGCTGAGTGGTTCGCGGTCAAAAGCTGTCTGATCTACGTTGTGAAGTGAAATGCATTAATTCACTTCTTCAGGATATGAGCTGGCATCACTGTGCATTTGTAATTTGGTCACCAGTGGCTTAAAGCTCAGAAGTCAATAAGTTTTTAAATAAGGTGTGCACTGTTTGACAGCAAATGAAGTGCTGCCTCCCAGCTGCTTGGTGCTTTCCATAAATCAGTTGGAGTAGAGAACAGTCACACAAAGACTTAAAATCTGGGGGATAGCTTGACTTGCACATAGAAAAAGGCATATTTATGCGATGTACAGTTTTAAAAGAAAAAATCAGAGGTCTGAAATTCAAATTACATCAAATTCACAGATATTGTGATGAACATAAGCAAAGGGAACAATGCCAATTGATTATAAGCAATTCATTATAAAGTCCAATTGTTTCTTCATGTTTGTAGGAAGTCTCACTTCAGGATGTTCGGAAAGAAATCAACTTCTGTCATAAAGTGAAACTGCCAATCATAGGTGTTGTGGAGAACATGAGTGGCTTTATATGTCCAAACTGCAAGGTAAGGCTATCTGTATCTTAAAACATTTCTTTATCTCACTGTTGTTTGCATATCAAACATTTCTGGAAAAATACCATGTTCTCAGAATTGGAACACTGTAACTCTTATTTTCATGTTGTCCCAGAAAGAATCTCAGATCTTTCCCCCAACTACTGGAGGTGCAGAGAAGATGTGCCAGAACTTAAATGTTTCCCTCCTGGGAAAAGTGCCTCTAGATCCTCAAATAGGTAACGTTACTGTGTTGCACTACAACAGCTTTAAAACTGTGCTGGTGTTCTTACTGGGGAGTCTGACAGAATGTTACATGTTTTGTGTCTCAGGTAAATATTCTTTTTTACATAGAGCGTCTGTTTGAATCACACATACCATGGTGTGAAAAGTGCTGGGTAATTTACTTAACCTGATGTTTCATCTTGATGAGGATTTTATTACACGTCTTTTCAGCCGTCTAATCCTTACTCTAAATATGTGGTGTCTTTTTTATGTAATCACCTGAAAACACAGCTAGTAAATTCTTCTGTGAAGAATAGCAACTTGTAAATGATAAGCATTAAAATTAGTGCTCTTTCTTCACTCTCACTGGCATGACTCAAATCCTGTTGTGGATTGTGAGATGCCTTGGTTCCTCACTGGCTATTAGAAATGAACACTTGATTTAATGACTTGAGGAACAGGTCAGTACTTCCAAAGTAACGGCTGAAACTTCCTGCTGATGGTGGTCCTTTGTACAACTGTGAGCTGCAGCTCCATCACTGACGTAACCATTTCTTAAAAGGAATGGATACCAGTGGTTCCTTGGAGGAGTATAACTGATAGTGGGATGAGCAGTAAGTAAAGACAAGTTCTTTTCTTCTTGTTGCACTGTTTTCATGCTTTTCCTGTCCTTCCAGGAAGAAGCTGTGACAAAGGTCAGTCTTTCTTGTCTGAAGTGCCTGAGTCTCCAGCGACGTCAACTTACAGGAACATAATTCAAAGTAAGTCTTAAAATCACCATGAAGGTGAATCCCTGCTGCAGTGCATTAAAGGTGCTAGAAATTGGTTTTCTGCCGCATGTAATCAGAAAACAAACCAGCGTACACGTGCATAGCAATTAAGAATGTAACGTGCAATGTAACCTTTACTTCTTTTGGTCGTTAGTTATGGCAGACTTACAAACTGGTGACTGAGTTGTATATAATGACTTTTTTCATTCTTTTGCTTAAATCATTAAGAAAAGATGTGTGTTTGCTTGCTCTCGAGCAGTTTTTAGGCAGGCCACTGAGGGGAGCCTACTAAATGTGATACAGCTGGGTAATATTGCCTCCTCCTGGTTGTAATTGCATATAAACTACCCCAGGAGCCAATGATGTACAGTTTCAAAATACCAGCAAAATTCCGTGACAAAGGCCCAACCTGTGAGAGCAGCAGGGGACAGCAGGATTGGTATTTATGTATAACTTTTTCCCTGTCTCTCCAGGGATTCAGGAGTACTGTGATCAGCACCATTTTCAAGAAGAAAAGATTATCTGAACACAATAAAAATATGCTTCATGTGTAATTACAGAAAAGTAACTTATGCCTTGCCTTGACTTAATATAAGGAATGTATTCTTTTTGTATACTGCAAATAAATTCTTAGTATTAATGTCATTCTCTTTTTTTCCATAAAGATTAATCAAGATTACCAAAATTCACAACTGGTCTCAGAACATGCTATGAGGTTAATTAGATAAAATAAACAAACCTTCATCTGTGTTACAAAGGTGCAGTTTGCATCCAGTCATCATACTGATGACATGAATACGAAGTTGGCTTTTGAAAACGTGCATAGACAAAATCTTATTCACAAAGCTGAATGTAAAATAGGCTTCAGTGACACTGGGACATTCTATCTAAACTCTTACATGCATGTGCAGTAGGCTCTGTCCTGCCTTCTGCTGTAGGATGAGTTGCAATGCCAGATGTCTCTCTTACTGAACATCACGTAAGTATCTTTGTCAGTGGAAAAGATCTGTTGTTAGAGTGGAATTTTCGAAGCGATGTCCTCTTTCCTTACACTTGGCATTGGTTTTAAAACACCTAGATGTTAGGCAGCTTACAGTTAACAGCACAACTACAGAATTGTATTTACTACACAAATCAGAATAAGATTAATGGATTTTGATTACTTCAACATAACTGTGGCTGCATGACACTTTTTTTTCCTTGTACTGACTCTTAAGCCTGAGCACTTTTAAAATAACAGTCCCTAACCAAGCTGCCCTTATGCAATTGTATTTCCTCTTCTTTTTACCGAGTAATCAAAGACTTGGGAAATCTGTGTTGTGTACAGGAGGAAAAGGTACTTTCACTTCATTGATTTTAGTTTCAGAATTAAACAAATGATCATCACCTGGCTGCATTCTAATGCTCAGGACAATCTAGCAGTTTCAGTTTAGTTTACAGGTTTTTCTCAAGATCATGTCTGCTTTTTGAACTTCTGTACAACTACAAGCAAACTGCCTTTTGGGGAAAGTCATTTTGAAGCAAATTGAGAGGTTTTGGAGACTGATAACACAAACACAAATGATAGAAAATCATTATTTCATGCAGGCAATTCTAGAAGAGCTTTACTTCAATAATTTCATATGAAAAACAGCTTTTATAACTGAGTACTCCTACTGCTCCTCCTTTTGTTTTTCCTTAATCGATTATCTGGTCCGTGTCTTCCCATGTCCTTCAGTGCGGTCTTCTGAAATCCCCCTGCTCTGTCCTGTTGAGTGAAAACACGACAGGCAGATGTTAGCATCATTTAATATACACAGGGAAGAGGCTGTTGGAAACCCGAGGGCTTAAGGTAGCTCTTTCAGCAATGCCCACGTGCTGTGCTAAATCAGCATGGTACTGAGCACTTCACTTGGAGAAAATTCGTCATGCGGTTTAGAAGCTGCTCAGCCATGGAGCTTCAGCCAGCTCCTGAATACAGAGCAGTGACTTTGGTGCAGCCCCGTGGTGGGAGCTCACAAGGTGGACGTGCTGGAAGCCCTGCCAGAAGATACGTTAGGAATCAGTATCTGGAAGAAGCCAAAGCCTGTAACAGTATGAGGCAGGTCAGCATTCGATACTTCATGGGCTGCTGCTGGCAGACCAACTTAATACTTACTCTTGGCAACATCTGCTGTGACAAAAAACCTTGAAGTTATTTTGCTGATGCTTTTCTGTCCCCCTAATTTGCAGTGGATGTATCCATATAAATTAGCAGTCTGAAGGGAGATACCAGCTATGACAAGAGCCTGCAGACAAACAGAAGTTTAGCAGAGATGAATGTGCTGCCATATATGTAGATTGTATGCAGGGAAAATATATGCATACATATGTTATAAGAAGGATGTTATATATATAAAAGAAATACATTGCTTCAAATAATGAATAACCTTAAAAGAGATACATTCATATTAAACACAGCAATCCCTTTCTGTAAGAAAATACATTTTTTAAAAAGTGTTAGAATTTTTGGCTCAAGTCATTCTGTATCTTGAAATATTTAAGCTCCTATTCAAAAAAAAAAAGAAAAAAGCACCTATCCAACTGATTCTATAATCATTTCACTTCTTCTAAGCCTGACATATCTAATATCCTCATAAGCAGATACACAGCAAGCCTGCAGATATGTTTGCTGACAAATGCCTCGCTGTAAGTAAGATCCTGTAACTCACAGGTTTACAGAGAGCATCAATAGATACAAATCAGTATTCACCATTAGCAGGCAGTAAAAATAAGTGGAACCATTGGTGCTTATAGGCTCAGAGAAACTTTGTTTCCTAAAAGCTACTCCATTTTCATTTGTGGAACTTGCTTCCCAATGTACGAGCAACATGCATCTTCATTGCTAGCTTGGGTCCAATTCTGGTTTTCAAAACTAAGGGTGGAGAACAACTGCTGGTTTAATTTTAACTGTTGTTTCTTTAGTGATACCATTTGAGCCACGATAAAGCAGTTAATTATTTGCAATCAACTTATACCCACAGATGAATTTCCTGATCCATTAAGTAATAAAATGCAATCTCAGGTATTGTTTGTTATGTAGCAGTATGTATGCAAGGCACTTTACCTCTTAAAAATCAGTAACAAAATCATACTTCGCACAGCAATGTAACAAAATGTATTCTGTGGTGATTATGCAGACACAATAGAAAAGTTTACAGGGGAAAACAATGATTTCTTAAAGTCTGTTAGCACAGTGCAAGTATGGGGTACACAGCTCTGGGGAAAAGTAAGCTGCTGTAGTTAAAAGTGAAGCTACAATTCTGCCAACCTTTAAGATGCCCTTCTTGAGACAGGTGAAACTGTCAACAGTTGATAACACAGTAAAGCCAGGCTGAAAGTTGCATTCCTGAGCTCAGGGCTTCACTACAGAAACCTCAGATTTCAAATTCTTATTGGGATTTTTGTAACATGAGAGATCTTGATGCAAAGATTTTTGCAAAACTACAGCTCTGGGTTTTCTCTCAGCTAACACTGCTTGTCAGCTATCGTTCATTCAGTAACCCCAGACTTACCAGCCATTTCAGCTTCAGGGAAAACAAGGTGCTGAAAAAAAACACTGTCCAAATCACTGGGCAGATGATGAGGCCAAGCCAAAAGATTCGAGCTTCAGCTTCAGTTGAGGCAGCTATTGTAGGCACCTACAAAGGAAATTATTGACATTTTAGTCACAAAACCAAAACCCACAATAATTAACAGATCAACAAAGGAGGAATTGACATAAATCTTTACATGAATTTATTACATTTAATTCAATTTGGCATCAGATTCCTACTATCTCTCAGATTCCTGAGAGATGTGTGACACAGAAGACAGTGTTACAAACAGAATTTTAATACATGTAACCATAATTACCAACAAATTACCAGCAGAGATGCTGCACTAGCACTTACTGTTCGGGGGAAAAAATAAGTCAATACAGAGAGAACTCCACACCTGAAAGACCTAAAGGGCTGGCAGTTGTGATGTTCAGGGTGTGTTACTGTCTTCCAGCACACCTCAGCTGCTGGTAGGATTTCTAGGTTGAGCTTCTGTCCCAGCAGCAGCAGTGTACCAGGAATTGGTTGCTGGTTGGTGCTGAATGACTTGTCACACTTCTAAGCAAACCCACCCCACAGAGGAGATTTTAAAAAGCTGCCAGAGGAGTGGCAAGAGATGGAGCCCCAGACTGGGAAGTAAGAGAACAGTGGGTACCCCAGGCTGTGCCATGATCAGTAAACAAGGACAAAAATACAATTTACCCTATTTATACCTTCCTTCCTCTGTTGTTATGATCCCCACGTTAATCAACCTATTTGCCAGAAGTTTTTGAAGGCTCGAGCCCACAGAGGTGAGCGGACTTTGTACTGACTGACAAACTGCAGTAAGTGAAGTAGGCAATGCACTTACTCATTTTACAGTAAGTGCCAAGAAAGCTCTTGCTGTCTTTCTCAGCTCCACAAAACTGTGATACACTGGAGGTCTTCCAGCTTCCTTGCTTTCCTGCAGACTTGCTTGTATCCTAGATTTCACTTAAATTACAGGCAGAAAGCTGACCTCTGCTCTCCCCTTAGTGGTGTGCAGCCACGCTGCCTGCTGCATTCCTGCACGTACAGCCCCAGCTGCACACAGGGCTGCTAGAGGGCACTGCTGGCCTGCATCTCTGGGGCAGTTCCCGTTGGGCTCAGCACCTCAGTTGTGTGCACCTCTGGCTTTGCATAAAAAGGGTGACCTACTGTGCAACACTTGAGTGTTGTTCGACCAAACTCTTGTCTGCTGGGGTGCTGGACACTGTGTTAGCAAACAAATGTGGAACTGGCAGTCTTGACTCTAGCAGCAATGCCAAGTGCCATTTGATGGGGCTTCTTTGCTCAGCACTAGCAGTGTTAGAATGCTCCAGAATCTGGGTGCTGCTGCCCATGAGCATGAATAAACGATACTAACTTTTAAGAAATGAATTTGAACTATTCAGCCTTGCTTTCAACATAGTTCCCTCCTGAAGATAATTCTGTGTTGTAAGTAACTACGGGAAGATGGATTCATTATAAGTTGTTCTCATTTGTTCTTTTTTTTAATTAGTATGGATACGACAAGCTTTTCACATGCTTTCTGCTTGTCATGTGCCTTTAATTATCATTCTTACCCTTTTTGCTTCAAATACCCAGTGACTTTTTCCATCTTCATCAATCTGGTTCCACCAACGTAAACCAACCAAGAGTCTTCCTGTCACATTCTAGTGACAGAAACAATTATTTGCATTAAGCAGCTGCATCACTCATTTGTCAGAAAACATTTAAAATAAAGACAAGCATGTCTGAAAATGGTATTTCTTACCAAATACTAAATTTATTTCTAAAGCCTCTGTCAATTTGTGCACAACAGTCACTAAGAACAGATGAGTTAATAGAAATGGAGAGACCGTTCTCCTAATCTGATCATTAGCACAATAATATTAACTTAGATAAGAAATGATAGGGTGCATCTTTCCTAAGTCAGTTACTTGGAGAAGACTGATAAATTCTTACTGAGAGAACACCAACCAAAAACACACTGGGAAAAAAAATGGAAAATTAATTATAAACAAGTGAGCTGCTTGGAATCAAGCAAACAATTAAATTAAGAAAGTATTTTTGAACCTGGATCAATACTATAATTTTACTGTAAGTTGGAGACACATCAGTGTTTCACACAGGATTTAAACTTTGTTCTTTGCACCCCTGGGGACTCTGGGCTGGCCCCACCAACCCCCTGGGCCACCACGATGGTGCTGGTACCACAGCTGGGCCCTCTGAGGGCTCTGAGGCACAGCTATAGGCATCCTCTGGGTCCTTTCCCATCCTTACTGAAAACTACTATCTCTTTATTTTTTCCTAAGGATACACAAAGCATACAAACAAATCTGTCTGTGGCAAGGCTGCTTTCCTACCATGTTAGTAACTTACACCAGTGACTGTGATATGTAAAAGCCTTGTATAAAACAGGATTGACCCATTTACTAAATCAACAGATCACAATGTCTGTCTCCCTTTCAGTATATATCTTCCCTTTTTATTAATAGTATATATATTTGTTAATGGCATAACAATACTTTCAAAGGTAATTACTGTTCAGGATCATCTTACCTTAACTGACCAAAAGTCAAAGGATAGAAGAAGGAGAATAGTGACAAAACAGGCAACAAAGCTGTTGCTGAACCAGTCACAGAACAAGTAGGTAATAATAGCACTCACTCGGAAAAACAGGTGGAAAAAGGTGGCCAGTGGGTGCCTGGAAAAACAATACAGAGCACTTAGGAAGTTATGGGACAAGGAGGACACTTAGTGTATATGCTGACAGTGCAGTACAGCAACTATTTCTGGCGTACAGTGACATCTCAGTTTGTAGTTGTTATCTGAGATGTTGATAAATGATCAAAGTGATGATACATCCAATAACCAACCTCCAGCCTACAGCTAAGAACAGCAATTGTTGTATTAATGCTTCCTCAAAGATGGAACAAAACCTGCACAGCCATGAGCTTCGTGGTGCTGTGTAAAGGAATCTGGTGAGTGGTTGCATTCAGCACTGCAGTCCCAGCTCCTCCATCTGTATGGCAGAGCACAAAGGAATTAATTGAGACAGATCTTGTGTCTTTCCAAAGCGCTTTGAAAACAAGACCAGCAACTCTCTGGAATTAAAATGATATGAAATAAGACAAAATGAGCTTTCATATGGAATAACTGAAAGTGAACACTTCCTTTTACAGAGGGAGTACAATTTAGGAAGTTTACAGTTCTTCTGAATGAACGGTCATTAATTTCACAGCATATCTGTGCTGTGCTTCTCAAAGGAAATTTGGCCTACAACAAAACTGAGGGAAATTTCAGTAGAAGAACCAACTGTACAGAGTTAAATGTTGGTCTGTACAGTAGGACGTGGGCTTGGAGGAATGCTATAAGATGCACAGTCCAGGTAATATGCCAAGTGCAAGACAACAGAAACAGCTGGTTTCTGTGAGTTTAAAAGGACAGTTAATTAAAAGCCATTCCACCTGAGTAACGTCCTCCCTTGAAACCACAATGAATAAAATCTGTTTTCCAAATAAGATGGTTTATTTCCATCTGTGATTGTTTCACAAAGCCCCTCTATCTCTTTAAGCAATTAAGAGTAGTATGGCCCTAACCTTCATTAATTATCTGACTATTTTATTTCTTATTCTATTATGTATAATTAAAAATTTCATATGCATGTTATAAATCTTTGAATATATTATAAAAATATTTGAATATATTATAAAAATTTGACTGGAGTTTAAATTATAGTACTTACTATATATATTCCTTCATTATAATATTATTACTCCATACCTATTTATTTACCTATTTATTGTAGAAGTCAACTATTACATAATGGAAATATTGTGCTTGTAGTAAAGATGCCTGACTGGAAAAGCAAGAATGACACACAGCTGAAGCTTGCATGTACTGCTGTGCCCACACTAACCACAGACTTTCCAAAAAACTTCTGACTTACAGATAAACACGTGACATGTGAAATGAAAGGGGTTTTTTCTTACACAGGCGGAAGGAATCCTGTGAGCTGCCAAAAGCAGATCCTGCCTTGGTACTTCTTGTTCAACATGATGTAAGAGTTCGGCTGCACAAATAGTAAGTTGAAGTAATAAGGGCTACTTGTAGGCTGCAACCCTGGAGAGCATCAGGGCAGACAGCTTTTATAGTTATGCTGGGGGCACTCTGGAGAAGCAGGAGGCCCACGTTTGTTACAGCCCTGAATGCTTTTTGTGGGGACTACAGAGAGTCAAGCCCCTCACAGAGATATAGAGATAGAGCTGCTCAGGCCAGAGACACATCTGCAGGTCCGAGGGGAGGAAGAGTTAGACTGCTCAGCACTGGTATGTTGTTCCCTGCATGACTCCCTCATTCGCAGAACATGTGCACCTATATATGCTAACAATAAATATGTTTTCTGATTCTGAATTCTGAAACTAAACTGGTTCATACTGTTTGCTTCCTCATCCAGCAGAGCAAACATGCATTTCCCTAACTTGCAGCCACCAGGTGAAGCTTACAGCTTCTACCATATAGGAACAGAACTTTGAACAAATAATCTGAGATAAAGGAAACTGTTCAACCATGAAGGCGAAGCCTCTGCATGCTTTTTGACATAAGCTATACAGCTCTCAGTGAATACGTTTTCAATTGTACTTGATACATTTTTTTAAAAATACAGTTCCCAGAAGTATGGTAGCAATTAAGAAATTGTATGAACTAACATGATTTCTTGTACTGACAGAAGACAGTGTAGGCTTTAAATGCACACCAACTTCTCATAAGACTAAACTATTACCAATTATATCATTAATAACTTTGTTCCATTCGAAAGGATGATGGCTGTCAGGATAGGAATGAACTGCTGTGAATTTAGTTGGACCCTGCATTAAGGGATCAAACTGGGTCAGCCCTACAGTGTACCACTAAACCAGTGTTGCCCAGGCACCTGCGCCAAGTGCCACAGCAGCTCTGCATGCCACTCTTTGCACCTCCTGTCCAGAACTTCAGATATATTTAGGCCAATTTTGAGCAACCAGACCCTCTGGCTCCATCATCTTGTGTTACTTGACTAACGTGAAACAGATGTGAGCATATGCTCCTGCTTGATCCTGATTAAATGTTTTGATACTGCACAGAGCTCCAAGTTGTGCAAGGTTGTGCTCTCCTCCTAACAGAAGCAGCCACCAACCACACAATTATCTGTGCACCTTTTGGTTCTAAAGAGCACTTGCACACATGCTGGAGAATCACAAATGTACAACTTGTCATGGCTCGTGCAAACTGAGTAAGTCCAAGATGTATGAAAGTGGGATAAGGTTTAATAAAAGCAAACATCCAGAATATGTCATTATGACTTCTTACAGGCAATGAAGTTCTGCAGCTCATGGCTGTGTACCAGGCTCATTTGCACAATTGCTCACAGAGAAGTTTGTTTTTCTATTTCCAAAGAATCTGAGCAGTTTCATTTCTGTATTTTACAGCACAAAATATTTCAATAAGAGATTATCCTTTAGCATTGTCACTATGAGGGTAAGAAAAAAGAGCAGTCTTTGGTGAAATAATCATCTAAGCAAAATGAGCCCACTGTGGTATGGTTATCAGGGAGCATGAACCTGCAGAACAGAGCTGGTTCTACTGTACAGGGCTGGTGCCACAGGTCTGAAGCAAGCACTTCAGCACAGTTCCAGTTCCCACCAGACTCCAGTCTGGTTCCACTGTGTCTGCTGCATACAACACTTGCAAGTTTTAGTTCCCAGTTTAGTCACCTCCATTCAAGCCATGCGCTCCAGAATCACACCATAATACAGAACAGAATGCAAACCTTCCTCAAACCTGCTGCCATGGCAGAGAACACAGAAAACAGTTCTGGGGATGTTAATGCTGTGTCATGGCAGCTCACCATGGAGCCAGACTGCAAGTCTAGTGCAGTGGAAGGGCTGAGACGTTCCACCAGATACTGGTAGAGCTGAGCAATTGTATTGTAAAGCTGCACGACTGCTTGTGTGCCTCAGATAAGCTGTGCAGGCTTAGTGTCCTTTATTTTATTTATGCCTGCAGAACATGCTAATGTTGCAATCTACCACAGTCATCTGGAGCTTGGTGGGAGGGAAGAGATCAGTATCAACAGAAGCTGATTATATTAAGTATTGATGAGTGTGTATGGGCAATTCGCTTTGACAGCTGTTGGAGCAGATCCAGAGGAGGGCCATGAAGATGATCGAAAGGCTGGAGCAGCGCTCCTGTGAAGACAGGCCGAAGGAGCTGGCCTTTATTCAGAGGGCGGCGAGGCACTGGCACAGGTTACCCAGAGAAGTTCTGGAGGCTGCATGGGCCTGGCAGCCTGATCTGCTGGGTGGCAACCCGCGATCAGGGGGAAGGTTGGAGCTGGATGGTTTTTAAGGTCTCTTCCAACCCAAACCGTTCTATGATGCTACGATACACCTCATCTTGTGACAGCCTTTGGCTGTGGGCCCTTCGGCTCCAAGCAGCAGAACGCTGCGGTATGGCGGTGCTGCGGTGCGGCGGGGCGCTGTGGCGGGGCCCTCCCTGCAGCGCGCAACGCGGCCCGAGCGCAACGCGGCAGCAGCGGCTGGCGGTGGGAGGGCGGGGCCCGATCCGCTCCGCTCCCCGTTACCTGATTTTGGCTTTCCGCAGCGCCAGCTCCTCCTCGCTGCCGAAGTCCAGAGACACGTCCTCGGTGTCGTCCACCAGCGCCTGCGGCGGGGACCCCCACAGCGCTCCCGTCAGCGCCGAGGGGCGGGGAGGCCGCGCCGCCGCCGCAGCCCGCCGCCCCGCGCCGCCCGCCCGCGCCTCTACCTGCTTCATGCCGCGGTTGCGGGGTGTGGCAGTCGCCGGCGCCCGGAGGTGTCAGAGGGAGAAGGATCCCGCCGGACCAGGGCGCGGCCCGCTCAGGGCTGAGGCACGGCGGAGCCTCGTCGCCCGCGCTGAGGTGCGCGGCGGCGCCTGCGGGCGGGCGGCTCGGGCTGAGATGGCGCGGGGCCGGGGGCTCCTCCGCTCGCACGGCCGCCCCCTCACGGAACGGGGCCGCCCCGCAGCCCGGCCGAGCGGCGGAGAGCTGCGGCTGCACCGCGAGCCTGGCGTAGGGATTCCCGTCCTGTAGTTAAAGGTCTTTCAGCCTGCTTTTGTTGAAGCTGCAGGATGGTTGTAAGGCGGCAGCACGGAGAAAGGCTTCCGAATATGGATAGGGGAACCGAAGTGTGCTCAGAACGACCGAGAAACGGGTCGATCGGGTGGGTACGAAGTGAAGGATCGAGGGACAGCTTTACTGATGTTACATAAGCCTGCACTTAACATCTTACCTGTCTTCTGTAAAATAGAATCACAGAATCACAGAATGGCCAGGGTTGGAAGGGACCTCAAGGACCATGAATCTCCAACCCCCCTGCCACATGCAGGGCCACCAACCTCCACATTCAATACTAGACCAGACTGCCCAGGACCCCATCCATGCCCAGCCTTGAACACCTCCAGGGATGGACGGGGCATCCACAACCTCTCTGGGCAGCTGTTCCAGCACCTCATCACTCTCTGTAAAGAATTTCCCCCTGACATCCAACCTAAATCTCCTCTCCCTCAACTTCAAACCATTTCCCCTTGTCCTGCTGTTATCTACCCTTTCAAAGAGTTGATTCCCCTCCTGTTTGTAGGCTCCCTTTAGGTACAGAAAGGCTGCAATGAAGTCACTCTGCAGCCTTCTTTTCTCCAGGCTGAACAAGCCCAGCTCCCTCAGCCTCAGGTACAATTATTAAATAATTTTATGTGTGCCTGAAGTTTACATACATAATTAACATACCAACAGGCACTGTGGTTTATGAGAAATGCATTGCAAACAACTTAAACAGAGCTGGCTTCTAATTTAGAAGCAGCTCCAGAACTGCGGTAGTGAAGGTCTTGCCTCTCTGTCTGACAGCTTGGTTACCTAAGCTTCTGTATCAGCTCTTCTTTCGTGTGTCACACAGAATCACAGAATTGTTGGGGTTGGAAGGGACCTTTAAGGATGGAGTCCAACCGCCTGCAGCGTTGTGCCAGCAAGCTGGATTGTTTGAATTTAGCGACTTGATAATACTGCTCTATTGTCTGAGTCACTGAATTTTTATTCCGAGGTCAAAGAAAATACCACATGCTGTGTTCCTTGTCAGGAAAGACAATACTTCCGTGGGAGAGGTGAGGATTAGTCAGTTACATTAGGTATCTGATTTACTACTCTGCTACTGCTATTTGACTTCAGTAGTGGCATCGGAATGATACTCTGGAAACAAGAAAAAGAACACATGGTTTGGTTTGTTCTTTTTGTTTTAAAATGGATAAATGGTTCTTTACTTTTCCCTCTCTCCAGTTCTTGTGCCAGCAATTCACTGCAGGGATTGTCTGCTTTCCTGACAAACTCTGTTCGATAATCCCACAGATGACTGTCATTATACCATGCAAGTGATTTTATTGATATTCTCTTTAAAGGTCTGTCAAAATATGTTCTGATTATTGAAGGTACTTTATGGGTTATCATCTTCTTTTAAAATAACTTAGAAGCTAGAAAGAATCCTTGGTCACTAGAGGAATCATTGGACAAATGACTTCCTCAGCTTTAGAAGTGGTCTGCAGTTTACTGTTGTAAAGGAATTAATTTGGGGATTATTAAAAAAACATTCTTTGTTAAACATTTCTGGTGTTTTCTAGGATTTCATAAGACTACCAATTTTGCAGTAATTTTAAGTACAAATTATTTCAATTCTGGAAAGATCAGCAATACAGTAAAGATAGCAAATCTTCAAATGCTGCTTCAATGGCAAGTTGAAGACGTGGTTACACTGAATTAAGAATTGTGGTTTGGTTTTGAGAGAAGACTGGTTTGTGAACAGTACAACCTTGGCCACTTATGAAATAGATTAAGATTTCATCTAATTGCTAAGATTTATAGCATGAAGAGGTATGCTACACCACTTTGCGGGTACAACTTGCTACAGGTACAATCACTTGCTGCTGTGAATTTGCCATTACTCAATGAGCAGTTCTCACCAAGACCAAATAGAGGCCTTCCTATCCTAGTCCTGGAGGATTCTCCTGAAAAGACATGCTGGAGGAAAGGAAGGCGTAGTTGGGTGAGGGGTGGAAAACAGGACCAGCCGAAGGTCTGGTAGTGGTTTTCTGCCTAGTCATCTTGTTTACCCTCTTGGTGCATGGCCTGTGGCAATTGTGTTGCTGGGAAAACTGATAAACCTGACTCTGCCCCTCCTGATCATGGCCTAAACTAATATCAAGAGCCTGACCTAGCAATTTCTGTCGGGACGTCGTGCCACTCTGTTGTCATTTCGTGTCAAGGTGGTGCTGTGCCAAGACAAAAACATGTTACAGCACTCACAGATGTGCTTCCATGGCTCTAGGCTTAAGTAAAAGAAGTATAACCAACTCCTGCAGGACCCAGGGGAGGCCTTCTCATACAGCAGAAGCAGCATGCACTCCTGCCATTAAGTAACAATATCGGCAGAGACCACATGCTAGCAGGATACAAAATAGTGTAGGGACCACTTCTGAGTGGAATCCCCCCTCAGCTGCACTGAGACCCCCACACCGTGCACACCAACGTCTGCACTGACCATGGAACGTCAGACTGTATTACCCTTCCTAACAGTCCCTCTCCTTTAGCACGGTATTTGTTGTATGTTTGGAATTGCTATCTGTTGAGCATTTGCCAACTGAGATTGTAATTGCTTAAGGACATTGTATAAAACAAATGTATAGTTAACTGCCTGACTTGTGGTGAGTGAAGTGTGTTAACTGAGCTGTGTGACACTGCTGACCATCAGGCAGGGAACAGAACGGAGCGCAACAGAAAATCTGCGCGACACCGCTGACCACGGTGTGCAGTGTGGACCTGGTACAGATCTCTCTTGTTCTTTAAGGTCTGTTCACATCCAGTAAATAGAACCTGCTCTAAGGGTAAGGTGGTGCTTTGTTGACTTGGCTAACTGAAGTCAGCTGGTTTCTCGTAATGCTTTGGAGTAGTGCCTGGAATCTATGCTGGCATAGAGACTTGCCCTTTAAACTGCATAAGGATATTTTGAATAACTCTATAGTAGTAATTGTGCCCTAAGTATCTCAGTTACAGCTTAATATTCAGAGGAACCGAATGCTTGAAGATATTGTTTAAGAATGACTTTTGCCTCACTTGTATTAAATACACAGATGCAGTTGGATGGGGGATCGGTAAAATGCTTAAATTTTGAGGAGATAGATTGGCCAAATTACAGAATTTATTGAATAGATAAATTTCTATTATTCATAGCTCTGCTTAGATCTCTGACGTGCTTGCTGGACAGATCTTCAACCACAGCTTTCAATGGCAAAGTCTACTTCATCTTTTGTTGTAGACGCTGTGGTTAAGTGGCTTTTGCTATGTTTGCTTGAGTTTGTTCTTATTTATTCCAAATTTGTAGCTTTGAAGGGAGAAATAATCTTTCTCAGGAAAAAGAAGAATACAGAAAAAAAAACATTAAAAAAGAGAAGTGAAAAAGAGTTCCTAATCTGGTTACACAGTGAAGAGGGAAACCTCTATTTACAATTCTTAATTTGTTTGACATGCAGATTTCTGTGAAGCAGACCAGTGCTGCAGTGTTTCTGTTCAATAATATCTTTTCTTAATTTGTTAATCTTTGTCTGGTTCATTGGATAGCTTCAGCTCCTTAAAAATCCTTGAACTCAATCACAGAGAACTTGACAAGGTGTCAGAGAAATTCATGCTGTTTCTATAAGCCTGCATCACACCCAGAGGTGAAAGCATTCAGGATTGTTCAATCCTTTACATAAGCCACAGAAATATTGCTTTGAAGCAAAGTCCAGCACACTGACTTGCACATTCTTTTACACTGAATTACACTGAATGCTACTGGAGATGTCTTGCCCTACGTGCAGCACACAGCTCAGCCTCTCCTGGTGATAGGGGCCCAACATGCTTTGGCAAAAACAAAAGTATGGTGCATGTCTGTCTGTTAACAGTGGCCTATGAGCCACTCCTTTTCAATGGAGTCTGTGCTCAGGAAGAGGCTACGATTTCCTCTGCTGCCTCAGAGATGCTGTAGTTCAGCCTCCTGGCTTAGGAGAGAAGGAAGCTTGAGGATGCCTTTGCTGTTCCCATGAAAGCACTTCTGCCTGATCCCCAGGCTGGAGGCTGAAGCATCTGTTTCTCTCATGGATGGGCCTCAGTTCATGATCCACAGATTTATTTTTTTAAACCAGAATCTGTAAATAATCACCAAATAAAAGTACTGAAATACATCTTGGAAGAAGGGCAATACCCAGCCCTGCTTGTTTCTCAGAAGGCATTAACTTCTGTTTTCACCCTTTGGGCAGCATAGAACAGATTCAAAAAAAGGGTTTGAGATCTCCGTGTCCCTCTCAGCCAAGCAGCCCTGAGGTCACATTGCAGAGCTGTAGAAACATGAATCTGAAGCTCCTGAAGAAGAAAACTTCATCTGATCATCAGATTCACTGGCTGCTGTTACAAGAAAATGAGTACAGCTACTGAAATGAAAATAGCATTAAGGGCTTGTTTTTACAAGTGGCTAAAGATAGAGCTACTGTGACTGATGTGTATTTTCGTGTCTTTTGTGTCTAAAATCTGCTAGCTGACAAAAATCAGAAATGCTGCAGGGAAGCCCCTAAAATACATGATTTTACCAACTGTCAGTGGAGTGGTTTTGCCCAGTTTTCTCATCTCCATCATTGTGAAACTTGAACTGTGGTTTTGAACTTGTGCTTTTCCTTGTTGGTGTAGGTTTGAACTTGTTTTCTGTTTCCTATTCTTGCTGTCT